GTAGGCCTAGATGGTAACAAACATGGAAATATAGGATGATAGAAGTGGCTAACAACAAATGCATGATTAGGCCTACATCTTAAGATAGTTGATGACCACTTGAAGAGCTTTGCAGAGCTGATAATTGCTCGCTGGAACATTTGTGTCACTGTCACCAGCTATAAAACAAGCCATTTAGGCCAATTAAACAAACACAAGCCAGGTATGAGCCTGATTGTGCTGTAGGTGATAAGACTAGGATGAGGGTTGGAACGGCGGTAACTTGTCGTTGAGTAATTAAGCCATGTCTCCCCAGCACAAAGTTTTGAGCCCTGTTTTCTTTCCTTCGCCTGCATAATCCTTTGATGTCCACAGTCTTAACTGCTTGATCATTTCAATAATTGAACCATATTTGTATTGTGGCAGTGTATTTTCCCTTACTTGCCCTGGGACTACAGGTGCAGATTCGCTTGTGGCTAACCGCGCTACATTTGCATGGATGTTGCATTATTGTAATATATATGTTGATTAATGTGCACTGTCCCCTATAAATAAATAAATAAATAAATATAGGCATACACATTGATTGGTCGACAGATTTAAGACATAATACATTCATAAGCAATTGACACAATTCAAGTCAATTTATGGACAGAGCTTTGACCTTTCCATCTCCACAACTTCAACACTCCAGAAATACACACACAGTAGAGCAAGCACAGTAGAACAGCAAAACAGGTTATGAAAGTGCATAGTTTAAAAGTTGGCAGGAGTATTGTGCATGAAAATTGCGGGACATGATTCCCACAGGGGCCCTGCAATAACACCAATTGATTGTACACATAGAAGCCATATTAACACTTTTCAATTCTGGCATACTTGTTCCTCTCTCAGCATCTGTATATGTCTGTTAACATGTATATGAAGAGTTTATTTCTTAAACACTATATCCACAAATTTTTCCACTTTTGTGTTTTTTCACCAGAAATGATTTCTTATGGCTACCTTCACATGTAAAATATGACTGTTTTCAGTTTTCTTTTCTTTAGCAATTTTAGGTATGTAGTAAAACTAGTTTTTTGCAAAACGCTATATATCCATTGTTTAGCAGGAATGGAATGTTCGTATACTGTTAATATGACGGATATGTGGTTGTCTCACCTAGCTATCTTAAGATGAATGCACCAACTATAAATCGCTCTGGATAAGATAATCTGCTAAATGACTCAAATGTCAAATGTAAATGTTTCACATGCAGATCTCATATTACTGTATTGATTAATTTATTTTTATTTTTTATATTGATGTCACAAATGCATCATTTGTACAGTTCTTTATTAAAAATGTAATTATTTGTTACATTTCACTGTGTAAAACTTAGCAGTACTACTTATTTATCTGAGAGTGAGGCTAATATATAGCGTTTTGCAAAACAACATGATTATATGTCTCTGAAATGAACCCATCAAACGATAGATCTCAAACAAACACGTCTGTAATTGAACAGCCCCATGCCATGATTAGATGGTGAAAAAACACACCAATCTCATTCATAAGTTCTTTAAACAATAAAATCTAATTTACCAACAGTACATAAAATGGATATGTAGCATTTTGGAAAGAAACTCTTCATATGTTTTGTTCATCAGCTTCTGCATTCATATGTGTATGTTTGTTTTTCAGTTGAGCCTCAGCCCGTCTCCCCGTCTTTTTATGTAATGACCCCCTCAAAAGAGGAGATGCAAGACAATCAAACAGCTTCCTTTGCCTGCTTAGCAAGGGACTTTTCACCCAAAGATCATAAGATTACATGGCTGAAGAACAATAAGCCAATAGCCAAGAAGGTGAAAAACGTCTGTCAGGATGAAAAGAAGGGAGAACAGAACACCTTGTACAGCGCAACCAGCTTCTTGAGCGTCGATGAGAATGAGTGGACAGATGGGTCAGAGTATACCTGCCGCTTTGTGCACAAATCTGGAAACCAGACCAAGACTGTGAAGTACTCCTCTGGTGAGTAAAATCCATTAATATCCAGTGTGGATACGCTCTACCCAAAGGCCAAAACGTTCCCACAATGTTTATGTTATTTTAGTTTAATCCTCGGTCCTCTGTAGCTCAGCTGGTAGAGCACGGCGCTTGTAACGCCAAGGTAGTGGGTTCGATCCCCGGGACCACCCATACACAAAATGTGTTGCATGCTTTCAGTTATAACTTAGTCATTGGAGGTGAGGCATGCACAAAGCCAATAAATATACAATGCAAGGTAATACCTTGTTGGGAATGTGGGGTTTTGACTAAATGGGATAAGCTTTTGTCAGATTTGACTTTTTGTAGCAGGTTAGGGGAACTTATGCAGCAGGTTAGGAGAATTAACATAGCAGGTTAGGAGAATTAGGTTAAGGAAAGGAAAGAGATTAGGGTTAGCTAAAATGCAAAAAAAACTTTTGAAGTTCATCTGACAGAAGCAGTATCCCTCCTAGCCATGACCGGAGTGTGGGAAGGGTAGTGTGAAAGGAAGACATTTTGTTTTTGAAAGTTCCATAGTCTGTGTGGTTGCATTATTATGTTTATGTATGGCTCCACATTCAAACATACAATCCATTTATAAGTGGTAGAACTTTCATTAACAATGTCAACAGATTCTAGCAAGATAAGAATGTATACATTCTTTACTTGATGCAATTCTCTGCAAGAGGCATAATAGTTAGAGGGAATACAGTAATAAGCTAAATATACTATATATAACTTACATTATAACTATATTATTTTATAGGCCATATTTCTTAAGTGTCAGGTAAGAAAAATGTATAATTGCATCTAAATAGATGTCACAATTATTGGAAGTAATTTCAGTGAACAAATATTTGCTTCTTATTTCAGGTGAAATGAAGAAACTGTGTTTGAAGTATTTGGAAAACATATAACTTTCATACTTACATTTATTTTATCCATACATATATTGTAACCGTTTTCCTGCTTGTCTTGTTGTTGCTTTTGTTTGAATAGTTCAACTGTAGAGGTTAGATTTGTAAATATTTCATTGTGCCTTTTTACCCTATTAAGATAATAAAAGTTTAACTGAAGTAAACTACAGTGTATTGTTCTTCCTTTACCATTGCTCCATCCATTACCTTCTACCCCCAAGCCATAACACTGCTAAAGAGTGAATCAAATGGCTACCCAGACTGTTTGTATTGACCCTCTTTTTAAGCTGCTGCTACTCACTGTTTATTATCTATGCATAGTCAGTCAATTTACCCCTACCTACATGTACATATTACCTCAATTTTTACATGATTTATTGTCTTACTATGAAAACAATTCTGCATTGTTGGTTAAGGGCTTGTAAGTAAGCATTTCACGGTAAGGTCTACACCTGTAGTAGATACAAATTTGATTTGATTTGAGAAATACAATGCAGCTAAAAGGTTGTCTTATAATGTTTTATAAATATTGAAGAAACACATTTCTTATTTACGGTTTAATTAGTATACTTGTTGTTTAAAAGTTATTTTAGAACTGTGTGGCTGTTGTGATGTGTGGCTGAATCTACAGTAACTAATCTACGTTTTCTTTTTGCTGGATGCTGCATACTGGGTTCTGCATGAACACATCTGGAATCAGTGGGCCTTGCTACACTTGGTATGCAAACTATTCTGATATAGTTTGATGGGTTGTCAAGAAAACAAAAATGTAACACCAAGTGGTAAGAAGTTACATAACAGAAGTAGAGAAGAGAACTCTTATGTAAATAGCTCGGAAACATGCAAATGGCAACCGATTTCCTTAAGCAGAACCAGACCTCACACCTGGCTTCTGATACACACGGTTGCTCAGCATCATGTTTCACTTCTGTTTTTTTTAATGCTTTTTTTGGGACCAGGGTGTTTCCCCACGCTTCTGCCTGCTGCATTCCCTGTTCGCTGAGGCCTGTTCTGCTCTAACACCTGCGTTTCACAACCCTCCAACTCCATATCTGACCACTACCACTACCAGCTCTCAGGGCCCAGCCACCCAGCTACTTAATAGGTCCATAGCTCCATCTAGACTATGTTAAAAGTCATTACACTGAGCCCAGGCCTGGTTTTAATACATTGGGTTACTTAAAACTGCAGAAAAAAAGGTATGAAGAATTTAATTCAAAGTTTACAATCTGACTTTGGTTTACAATTTTACTCCTCCTTCCACCTTGAATTAGTGCAGCGGGTCATTCCTCCAGAAATCACCCTAAATCCTCTCTGGGAGGAAGTGGAGGGAGGATCGAAGGTGGGAATCCTCTGCATCCTGAGTGGGTTCTACCCCGACGAGCTGAGTGTGGAGTGGCTGCTGGATGGCAAGGCTCTGACCAACTCTCCAGTCCAGCGGAAGCTGCAGAGTGTAGAAGGTGAGGAGAAAACTTTCAACCTGAGCAGCCAGCTGGAGCTGGACCGGAGCCAATGGACTCAAGGGTCAGAGGTCACATGCAAGGCCACGCACAATGCAGCACAAGGACCACCTCCAGGACCACCAGTCTCCAGGACCACCAGCATTTGCTCAGGTGAGTTTCAGTGACAGCACCGTGTATTGGGCCAGAGGATGGGTATAGAAAAGTGTACAATTGAAAAACATAGTAACAATCCAAATCTGCAAGTCTTGTGACATCTCCATCTGTTTTCCTCACAGCGTTTCACTTGTCTACTCCATACATCCACCTGGAGACCCCCAGATTCAGGACAGTGATGACACAGACTGAGGTAACAGCTACATGTGTGGTCCACTCTGCGTATGATGCCAAAGTGACCTGGCTTCTGGATGGAAAAGACCCAACCAGCAGGACCCCAGTAAACCAGGCCAGCAGCACAACTCAGAGTATCAGCAGTAACCTAACTCTTCCCTCAAGCCAATGGAAAACCCTGAACACAATAACATGCAGAGCTGAACATCGCTGCTTCAAGCTCACACAGAAGACCAGTAATGTTAAAGGTTAGAATCGAACTTTGTGAACATAGACACTACTGTTCAAAAGTTTGGGGTCACTTAGAAATGTCCTTGTTCACCATGAAAACGTACATGAAATGAGTTTGAATAGGAAATATAGCAAAATGAATAGGAAATGTAGTCATTGACAAGGTTAGAAATAATGATTTTTTATTGAAATAATAATTGTGTCCTTCAAACTTTGCTTTCATCAAAGAATCCTCCATTTGCAGCAATTACAGCCTTGCAGACCTTTGGCATTGTAGTTGTCAATTTGTTGAGGTAATCTGAAGAGATTTCACCCCATGCTTCCTGAAGCACCTCCCACAAGTTGGATTGGCTTGGTGGGCACTTTTTACGTACCATAAGGTCAACCTGCTCCCACAACAGCTCAAAAGGGTTGAGATCCGGTGACTGTGCTGGCCACTCCATTATAGACAGAATACCAGCTGACTGCTTCTTCCCTAAATAGTTATTGCATAGTTTGGAGCTGTGCTTTGGGTCATTGTCCTGTTGTAGGAGGAAATTGGCTTCAATCAAGCGCCGTCCACAGGGTATGGCATGGCGTTGCAAAATGGAGCGATAGCCTTCCTTCTTCAAGATCCCTTTTACCCTGTACAAATCTCCCACTTTACCACCACCAAAGCACCCCCAGACCATCACATTGCCTCCACCATGCTTGACAGATGGCATCAAGCACTCCTCCAGCATCTTATCATTTGGTCTGCATCTCACAAATGTTCTTCTTTGTGATCCGAACATCTCAAACTTCGATTCGTCTGTCCATAACACTTTTTTCCAATATTCCTCTGTCCAGTGTTTGTGTTCTTTTGACCATCTTAAACTTTTCTTTTTATTGGCCAGTCTGAGATATGGCTTTTTCTTTATAACTCTGCCTAGAAGGTCAGCATCCCGGAGTCGCCTCTTCACTGTTGACGTTCAGACTGGTGTTTTGCGGGTACTATTTAATGAAGCTGCCAACTGAGGACCTGTGAGGCGTCTGTTTCTCAAAATAGACGCTCTAATGTATTTGTCCTCTTGCTCAGTTGTGCACCGGGGCCTCCCACTCCTCTAGAGTCAGTTTGCGCTGTTCTGTGAAGGGAGTAGTACACAGCGTTGTACGAGATCTTCCGTTTCTTGGCCATTCCTCGCATGGAATAGACTTCATTTCTCAGAACAAGAATAGACTGTCGAGTTTCAGAAGTTCTTTGTTTCTGGCCATTTTGAGCCTGGAATTGAACCCACAATTGCTGATGCTCCAGATACTCAACTAGTCTCAAGAAGGCCAGTTTTATTGCTTCTTTAATCAGCACAACAGTTTTCAGCTGTGCTAACATAATTGCAAAGGTGATTCTAATGATCAATTAGCCTTTTAAAATGATCAACTTGGATTAGCAAACACAACGTGCCATTGGAACACAGGACTGATGGTTGCTGATAATGGGCCTCTGTACGCCTATGTAGATATTCCATAAAAAATCTGCCATTTCCAGCTACAATAGCCATTTACAACATTAATAATGTCTACACTGTATTTCTGATCAGATTTATGTTATTTTAATGGACAAAAAAAAGGACATTTCTAAGTGACCCCAACTTTTGAACAGTAGTGTATACAGAGAGAAGTACAGCAAAACATTCAGTCTTCTTATAATCCTACCACATAAAAAAAAAGTAGACCTTATTGACACTGAAGCCAGATCAATGTTCCTTTCTCCTGTTGATCTCTCTACTCTGTGGGTGTGTTCTCTAGGACCTGCAGTGAGCAGCACTCCCACAGTGCTGATCAGGAGGTCTCTCCCAGACTTACTGAATGGAGACAGTGCTGTGCTGGAGTGTGCCATCACACATCTCTCCTCCAGTGACCTCTACGTCACCTTTCAGGCCAATGGGGTTGATTTCCCTGAGAAACAGTATGTGGATCTGCCTGCCTCCAAAGACCACCATTCACTCACCAGACGCTTCTCTGTCCCCACATCACACTGGAAAACAAACTGCAATTTCACCTGTAAAGTAAACCAAGGCTTCTCCAACAGCTGGGTGTCAAACTCCACAGGAAAGCTTTTTGGTGGGTGAACTTCTCTTGTCGTTACCTTATGATACCATCTCAATTTTCTATGTAATTAGGCCTACCAACATAAAATTAAGTTTCCATTGTTTCTTGCATAGTCTTAATTTAGAACTCAATAGTTCTAAAATGGAAAAGTGTTTGTGTTGTTTCCAGGTGAACCGTCCATGGAGCTCCTTCTAGCTCCCAGTGAGGAAACGTCAGGCTCAGGGACCCAGAAACTCATATGTTCTGGTTGGGGCTTCAACCCTCTGATCAAGTGGCTCTCTGGGTTTGAACAGAGGTCTGCAGCAGCCTATGAGATTATGATGGGGGAAGACGAACGTGTGGCAGTAACCAGTCATATCACAGTAACACAGCAGGAGTGGAATCAGGGGAAGGACTTCACCTGTGAGGTCATCGACAAGTATCTTCAGAAAGAGGATGTTCAGAAAGTCAGGAAGAGCATCAATAGATGTGCAGGTAGTTTTTGGTATTATGACATATACTATCCTTGAGCAGTGATATATGCCTATAGCCTAACCATCATTCAATAATGTAGGCATTCTTTAGAGCAATATCTGAACGTAGCTTAAAACACTAAATTCCCTTTCCTCTCAGTGACTCCAATATCATGTCAGAAAGTTGGGGTTTACCTACAGGGACCCACTCTTCAGAAGTTGAGTACAGATGGACAGGTGCCTGTCACCTGCCTGCTGGTGGGTCCCAGCCTTGAGGACTTTTCTGTTAGTTGGAAGGTGGATGGGGCTGTGGCTTCCCAAGGTGGAGTCAGATGGGCCCCCAAGGACCATTCCAATGGGACACAGACTGTGCAGATCATGTTTAACGTGTCTGCGAGGGACTGGCATGCACACAAACGTGTGTTGTGTGAGGTGAAGCACCGCTGCTCCAGCCAAGCCCAGGAGGAGCATATCACCAAATGCAGAGGTAGGCTAATTCAACACTCAATTGGCACACATTACCCAGAATGCTGATGCTGATACATACATACATCTTTGTGCATGCTATTGCATCAGTGCTTATCTGACATATTACTAAACAATATATTTATGTTACATTTTATTGAATAGGCCCAAAATCAACTAACTAATCAGTTTTATTTTCATTTGTTTTATCCCTCCAGATCCCAAGCCACCCTCGATAAAGATAGTGAGACCATCAGATTCTGATCTATTGGGGTCAAATAATGCCACACTGCTTTGCTTAGTGTCTGGGTTCTTCCCCTCTGATGTAATAGTGAATTGGGAGAAGTCTGGCAGTCGCCTACCTTTATCTCACTACTCCACTAGTCCTTCAGTCCTTTATTCAGGGAGAAGCACCTACGCCATGAACAGTAGACTCATCGTGCCTAGGTCCGAGTGGAATCAGGACTCCAATTACTCCTGTGTTGTCAGACACGAGTCGTCCGAGAGACCTATCACAAGCACAATAGAGAATGTATTTGGTGAGTGGACTGTTGATTTGAACAGTGCCATGAATTTGATTGTAATAACATTTTACATTTACATTTTTAGTCTACATCATTTTTTTATACCCCCCGTGGGAATCAAACCCACAACCCTGGCGTTGCAAACACCATGCTCTACCAACTGAGCTACGTCCCTGCCGGCCATTCCCTCCCGGCCATTCCCTCCCCTACCCTGAACGCCGCTGGGCCAATTGTGTGCCGCCCCATGGGTTAGTGTGTCTCCCAGTCTGTCGCTCTATCGTCTTTGACCTACAGTAGGTCTACAGATAGGCTATTCAATCCCCCAAACCTTTCACTGTGTCAATAATATTGTCATCATGACAGAAATGTAGGCTAGGTCAGCAGACCAATCTTGAGTTGCATTTAGAATTAACCTCAGACTATTTCCAATAGTAAAAAATGTATAAACACCACAGAATAACATTCCCTCAATATATTGCTAAATTAGTCAAATTTGCTAACTAAAATCGTATTAGCGCACTGGTTATGTTTAGCTATAGCTAGCTAGCTAACCCAGCTAGCCCAGCTATATTGTTATGCTAGCTAGTGCTTTAATTTGCTCATTTTTCTAACAAGCAAAACAATACATGGAAATATTGCCACGTTTAGCCAATCATTATAACTCATAAGTGTAAAGATGTAAAAAATTATGGTATTTGATTTGAGTAGTTAAAAGGACATACCGATATATCCTTTCTTCTCAACAAGTTCTCAACTCCAAGGTTCCAAAGTTTTGGTACCAAACTCACATGCGGTCGACTGCCGTGCGGGACTGAATGTAAAGTCTAGACAGGAAAGAACCATTGCAAATGCAAACCCTAGTGACACTGATACAACACCACCAATAATAATAATCTGCGTTGATAGCTGCCAAGGAGCAGATTCTGGATTTGCAGTCGACAAGGGTTTCGAAAAAATAGATATACTGTAGCTACAACATAATAGTTTATGGTTGCAGACTGCAGAGAGAGTCTATGAATGATACAATTCAGTAAGACGCAAACAATGCCCCAAAAATGTATAGCATTTTAGGGTACATGGAGTTTCAGCACCATGTCTCAAAATATGTACATCCTTCATTCAGTCATCATCACTCATAAAAATCAAATCAAATAAAAGTTTATTGGTCACGTACACAGTTTTGTTGATGTTATCGCAGGTGCAGCAAAATGTTTATGTTTCTAGCTCCAACAATGCAGCAATAATACATAATCCAAAAGTTAAAAATTAAAACGTATTAGAATGAGCAATGTTTCATGTCCCATCCATCAGGTTTTTCCCCATAATCAGATACCATTACCCCAGTTCCTGTCCTGCTCCAGCATCCACCCTCATTCCGTTTCTCTCTTCCTCTCCATCTACCCAGTTTTTCCCTCCCTGACTCTCATTATCTCTCTCTCTCCAGCCTCAGTGACTCCCTCTGCACCAACAGCCACCCTGCTCCAGGGTCCCAGTGAGCTCGTCTGCCTGGTGTTTGGCTTCAGCCCTTCACACATCAACATCACCTGGCTGCTGGACGACACAACAGAGCTGTGGAACCACAACACTAGCACCCCCTACAGGGCACCAGGGGGAAAGTTCATCATCAGGAGCCACCTGAGCCTGGCGCCCCAGGACTGGGCACCGGGGGCTGTTTACACATGCAGGGTGACCCACACCACGCAGACTCTGGCCCTGAACATATCCAAACCAGGTGTCTGTCTGTCTGTTCACTCACTTCTGATACAATAACATTTGCCTGGTGCTAGCCTCTTTCTAGCCTTATATGCTCTGTTTCACCATTGAAATACAGCATTTCAGTTTGGATTCCAGGCTAGCCTGTTTCTGCAACTCTTTCTCACTGAAAATCTCCTCTTTCATTTTGAGTAGAGCTCCTTGAGGTGAAGGGTGTGTTCTTTGACGAGAACAGGTCTGATCCCATCCTGGCGGACACTGCAGAGGAGAACTGGAACATGGCCTGCATCTTCCTGGTCCTCTTCCTCATCTCCCTCCTCTACAGCATCACAGTCACTCTGGTCAAGGTGAGAGGGAGGATACAGTGAGGAAAAAAAGTATTTAGTCAGCCACCAATTGTGCAAGTTCTCCCACTTAAAAAGATGAGAGAGGCCTGTAATTTTCATCATAGGTACACGTCAACTATGACAGACAAATTGAGAAAAAAAAATCCAGAAAATCACATTGTAGGATTTTTTATGAATTTATTTGCAAATTATGGTGGAAAATAAGTATTTGGTCACCTACAAACAAGCAAGATTTCTGGCTCTCACAGACCTGTAACTTCTTCTTTAAGAGGCTCCTCTGTCCTCCACTCGTTACCTGTATTAATGGCACCTGTTTGAACTTGTTATCAGTATAAAAGTCACCTGTCCACAACCTCAAACAGTCACACTCCAAACTCCACAATGGCCAAGACCAAAGAGCTGTCAAAGGACACCAGAAACAAAATTGTAGACCTGCACCAGGCTGGGAAGACTGAATCTGCAATAGGTAAGCAGCTTGGTTTGAAGAAATCAACTGTGGGAGCAATTATTAGGAAATGGAAGACATACAAGACCACTGATAATCTCCCTCGATCTGGGGCTCCACGCAAGATCTCACCCCGTGGGGTCAAAATGATCACAAGAACGGTGAGCAAAAATCCCAGAACCACACAGGGGGACCTAGTGAATGACCTGCAGAGAGCTGGGACCAAAGTAACAAAGCCTACCATCAGTAACACCCTACGCCGCCAGGGACTCAAATCCTGCAGTGCCAGACGTGTCCCCCTGCTTAAGCCAGTACATGTCCAGGCCCGTCTGAAGTTTGCTAGAGTGCATTTGGATGATCCAGAAGAGGATTGGGAGAATGTCATATGGTCAGATGAAACCAAAATAGAACTTTTTGGTAAAAACTCAACTCGTCGTGTTTGGAGTACAAAGAATGCTGAGTTGCATCCAAAGAACACCATACCTACTGTGAAGCATGGGGGTGGAAACATCACGCTTTGGGGCTGTTTTTCTGCAAAGGGACCAGGACGACTGATCCGTGTAAAGGAAAGAATGAATGGGGCCATGTATCGTGAGATTTTGAGTGAAAACCTCCTTCCATCAGCAAGGGCATTGAAGATGAAACGTGGCTGGGTCTTTTAGCATGACAATGATCCCAAACACACCGCCCGGGCAACGAAGGAGTGGCTTCGTAAGAAGCATTTCAAGGTCCTGGAGTGGCCTAGCCAGTCTCCAGATCTCAACCCCATAGAAAATCTTTGGAGGGAGTTGAAAGTCCGTGTTGCCCAGCGACAGCCCCAAAACATCACTGCTCTAGAGGAGATCTGCATGGAGGAATGGGCCAAAATACCAGCAACAGTGTGTGAAAACCTTGTGAAGACTTACAGAAAACGTTTGACCTGTGTCATTGCCAACAAAGTTTTGAGAATTGAGAAACTTTTGTTATTGACCAAATACTTATTTTCCACCATAATTTGCAAATAAATTCATTAAAAATCCTACAATGTGATTTTCTGGATTTTTTTTCTCTCATTTTGTCTGTCATAGTTGACGTGTATCTATGATGAAAATTACAGGCCTCTCTCATCTTTTTAAGTGGGAGAACTTGCACAATTGGTGGCTGACTAAATACTTTTTTTCCCCACTGTATAACCACCTCACAGGTTTTCACTGTCTGGCTTTGAAGTGTAAAGATATGTTTGTGAGGTTTGCCTTTTTTCTTTTAAGAAGAATGCATTATTTTATCTCTGTGTGTCTTTACTGCTTTGACGCCCTGTTGAAGCGCCTGTTGAGTTTCAGACATCGAATGTCATCCCACACAGAGGGTATTCAGATTATCGTCATGTTAAATATAAATCAAATTGGTCTCCCCAGAGGCTATATATTGTTTTTTTTTGTATTTTGTATCTGTCACTGCAATCTCATTATCACGCTTACTCTCATTGGCTAAGCCACAGTTACACTTGGTGTTCTCACATCTTGTTCAGCATCTTGGATGTAAAACAAGCATTCCAAGGTTTTCACATCAACTTATACTTACTTCCTTTTTTATTTTTTATTTCAGACAAAATGATGACTTCAGGACACTTCCATATGATGGATCCCTAGGAGTTCAACTGGAAATAAAACAATTTATTTCAACCTTTTCTTATATAATCACAACATATTTCTTTATAACATTGCATAGATTGAATTACTTACGGTCTCCTGTAGCAGGTTTGATGACAGAGAAGTGTTTGGGGTTTTTTCCCCCACAAAGACAGACAATGTTGTGGTGCGCTTACTTGCTCTCATCTCTTGTTAATGCATTATAGAATCTTCGAGCAGAGATAAACATTTATGTTTAACCACTATTAAATAAAACATACTCGTGCCATTACTCTCTATGATGAAGTGTTTAGACACCAGTTATTGCTGAATTATCTGCTGATAATAAAACATTATTTCAAACGACCTACTTTATCCTCCTCCCTCTTGTGTGTTATTTGTAGTTTATAGTTTTTAAATCATGTTTAAAAATATATACCATTAGTAAGAATATAAATAATGTTTCATATCTGATTGACATAAATACATGTAGAGAACAACATTAAAAGACCACATAAGTAGGACCATGCTTTTTGGTTGTTTTTCTGGCACTTTCTACTGGTATTTCCAGCATGATGCACTAGGTTTGCTTCTGGTAGAAAATCCTAGGAAACGTTATTTAATTGACACACGCTTTCTCCAATCAATCAATCACAGTCTTGTTGTGATTGTGTGTTTGGTGGGGGGATTCGCCTAAGCCAGGGGAGACCTAGCTCTGTGAATCTTAATTACACAAAGCCTATTATTTGGCAGGGAATATTATTTGTAGATCAGCCTCCCCTGGTTTAGGCGATCCCCCCACCAAACACACACGCACAATGAGACATTCATTGATTGATTGATTGGAGAAAGCTTGTGTCAATTAAATAACATTTCTTAGGATTTTCTACCAGCAGCAAAAAATAATAACCTTTGCTGTCATGCACCTCGTTTCATCACTGCAACACCTTTGTTGCCCACTAGAGGACACCACAAGACTGTGGTGCATCTGACTGTGGGCTGGTACATTTCCCATGTGAAAGGCCAGTCATGTGTGGCAATGGTCACTGGTCTGTATGCATATGCTCACAGGTCGGAAATCACCTGGAAATATTCGCTGGCTGCATTCAGGGAAGGTCCCCATGACAACAGAGGAAGAGACAGTTGCATTATTCTCAAAATGTCTGCATATGTCTGCAAGAAAAAATTAAAGCGTGTGAGTGTGAATATCTGCGAGAGTGTGTGTTTGCTGATGTGTCTACAACATGTGAGTGTGTGTATGTATGTATGTCTGGAGGGTTTGAAGGAATTCACATTGGGGAGGGAAGAGACTGAGTTCACCCAGCCTCCCAATTGGATGGATCTCGTGTAATCTGGCATCGTCGGTGCTCTGATTGGCTTAGACCGCCATGGCTGAGAACCAATGCTCTGATGCTGTTGCCGGGACGGAGTCACAGCATGTTGCCAACCGACGTGCCAAGGGGCTGGCAACAGGCGAGAGGAGGGCACAATGCCCAGCAGTCTGCCCATCCAGAAGGGTCTGACCGCCTCTCTCTCTCCATCTGATCCTCTCCCCAGTCTCCATCACCAACCATGGAAAAATAAGCAGTGAACATCCTCACTCAATAGGGCACAGACAAATGACAGCCGTTCATTTTTTTTTTCACCTTTATTTAACCAGGTAAGCCAGTTGAGAACAAGTTCTCATTTACAACTGCGACCTGGCCAAGATAAAGCAAAGCAGTGCGATAAAAACAACAACAGAGTTACATATGGGGTAAAAAAAACATAAGGTCATAAAATACAACAGAAAATATATATACAGTGTGTGCAAATGTAGCAAGTTATGGAGGTAAGGCAATAAATAGGCTATAGTGCAAAATAATTACAATTAGTATTAACACTGGAATGCTAGATGTGCAAGAGATTATGTGCAAATAGAGATACTGGGGTGCAAAAGAGCAAAATAAATAACAATATAGGGATGAGGTAGTTGGGTGGGCTAATTTCAGATGGGCTGTGTACATGTGCAGTGATCGGTAAGGTGCTCTGACAACTGATGCTTAAAGTTAGTGAGGGAGATAAGAGTCTCCAGCTTCAGAGATTTTTGCAATTCGTTCCAGTCATTGGCAGCAGAGAACTGGAAGGAATGGCGGCCAAAGGAGGTGTTGGCTTTGGGAATGACCAGTGAGATATACCTGCTGGAGCGCAGACGACGGGTGGGTGCTGCTATGGTGACCAATGAGCTAAGATAAGGCGGGGATTTGCCTAGCAGTGATTTATAGATGGCCTGGAGCCAGTGGGTTTGACGACGAACATGTAGTGAGGACCAGCCAACAAGAGCGTACAGGTCACAGTGGTGGGTAGTTGTCACGATCGCCAATAAAGTAGGACCAAAGCGCAGCGTTGGGAGTGAACATGACTTTAATGTTGAAATAACGACAAAACAAAACACGATCCGTAACGTCCTCAGTACACCGACTGAACATAGAACAAAAACCCACAAACACAAGGTGAAAACACACACTTTAAATATGGCTCCCAATCAGAGATAACGAGCCGACAGCTGACACTCGTTACCTCCGATTGGGAGTCACAAGACCAATTACCCCAAAAACACAAACAAATGAAACGCACCCATACCCAACACCACCAAATGAAATACACCCTGACTTTAACTACACAGTCCCAGAGCCAGAGTGTGACAGTACCCCCCCCCAAAGGCGCGGACTGCGACCGCGCCTAACTACAAGCAAACAGGGGAGGGCTGGGTGGGCATTCCTCCTCGGCGGCGGCTCCGGCTCCGGGCTTCCTCCCCACTTCCTCTCCAACCCCCCAAAGTACCCCTGGGCCTGTCTAGCCCCGCTGGCCGGAACCGGACTGACGACACGCGCCCCTGGCTTGGTGCGTGGATCCTGGCTGGACGGCTCTGGCGGATCCCGGCTGGACGGCTCTGGCGGATCCCGGCTGGACGGCTCTGGCGGATCCCGGCTGGACGGCTCTGGCGGATCCCGGCTGGACGGCTCTGGCGGATCCCGGCTGGACGGCTCTGGCGGATCCCGGCTGGAAGGCTCTGCAGGATCCCGGCTGGAAGGCTCTGCAGGATCCCGGCTGGAAGGCTCTGGCGGATCCCGGCTGGACGGCTCTGGCGGATCCCGGCTGGACGGCTCTGGCGGATCCCGGCTGGACGGCTCTGGCGGATCCCGGCTGGACGGCTCTGGCGGATCCTGGCTGGACGGCTCTGGCGGATCCTGGCTGGACGGCTCTGGCGGATCCTGGCTGGACGGCTCAGGCTGCTCATGGCTGGCTGACGGATCTGGCTGCTCATGGATGGCTGACGGATCTGGCTGCTCATGGCTGGCTGACGGATCTGGCTGCTCATGGCTGGCGGAAGGATCTGGCTGCTCATGGCTGGCGGAAGGATCTGGCTGCTCATGGCTGGCGGAAGGCTCTGGCTGATCCTGTCTGGCGGACGGCTCTGGCTGGACAGGGCTGACGACGCACCCCGTAGGCTCGGTGCGTTGAGCAGGGACAGGCCGGGCTGGGCTGGCGAAACGCACCACAGACTTGGTGCGGGGCGCAGGAACAGGCCGAGCTGGGCTGGCGACGCACCCCGTAGGCTTGGTGCGTTGAGCAGGGACAGGCCGGGCTGGGCTGGCGAAACGCACCACAGACTTGGTGCGGGGCGCAGGAACAGGCCGAGCTGGGCTGGTGACGCACCCCGTAGGCTTGGTGCGTTGAGCAGGAACAGACAGAACCGCACTGGGGACACACACCCCTGGCCCTACACGGGGATCAGGAACGGGCCGGACCGGACTGGAAACACCCCCCAGTACCTCTCGCCGTGCCTCCACACTTTCCATCCCCTTCGTAACCAGTGGCCCCCTTAAACTGGCGGCCATCTCTGCCAACCTCTTGCACTCCTCCGGGCCGTACACCTTCTGCCCCGACGTCGTGAGCCCCCCCCTAAAAATTTTCTGGGGGTCTCTCCTCTCGGTGGACCAGGCCTCCATAGTCCTCTCCCAACCTTCGCTCTTCTGGCTCCACCACTCGTATTCCAACTGCTGCTTGGTCTCGTTGTGGTGGGTTTTTCTGTCACGATCGCCAATAAAGTAGGACCAAAGCGCAGCGTTGGGAGTGAACATGACTTTAATGTTGAAATAACGACAAAACAAAACACGATCCGTAACGTCCTCAGTACACCGACTGAACATAGAACAAAAACCCACAAACACAAGGTGAAAACACACACTTTAAATATGGCTCCCAATCAGAGATAACGAGCCGACAGCTGACACTCGTTACCTCCGATTGGGAGTCACAAGACCAATTACCCCAAAAACACAAACAAATGAAACGCACCCATACCCAACACCACCAAATGAAATACACCCTGACTTTAACTACACAGTCCCAGAGCCAGAGTGTGACAGTAGTGTATGGGGCTTTGGAGACAAAACGGATGGCACTGTGATAGACTACATCCAATTTGCTGAGTAGAGTGTTGGAGGCTATTTTGTAAATGACATCGGATCTGAGAGTCACCAGCAGCAAGAGCGACATCATTGATATACACGGAGAAAAGAGTCGGCCCAATAATTGAACCCTGTGGCACCCCCATAGAGACTGCCATAGGTCCAGACAACAGGCCCTCCGATTTCACACATTGAACTCTATCTGAGAAGTAGTTGGTGAACCAGGCGAGGCAGTCATTTGAGAAACCAAGGCTATTTAGTCTGCCAATAAGAATGCGGTGGTTGACAGAGTCGAAAGCCTTGGCCAGGTCGATGAAGACGGCTGCACAGTACTGTCTATTATCGATTGCGGTTATAATATCATTTAGGACCTTGAGCGTGGCTGAAGTGCACCCATGACCAGCTCGGAAACCGGATTGCATAGCGGAGAAGGTACGGTGGGATTCGAAATGGTTGGTGATCTGTTTGTTAACTTGGCTTTCAAATACTTTCGAAAGGCAGGGCAGGATGGATATAGGTCTGTAACAGTTTGGATCTAGAGTGTCACCCCCTTTGAAGAGGGGGATGACCGCGGCAGCTTTCCAATCTCTGGGGATCTCAGACGTTACGAAAGAGAGGTTGAACAGGCTAGTAATAGGGGTTGCGACAATTTCTGCGGCTAGTTTTAGAAAGAAAGGGTCCAGATTGTCTAGCCCAGCTGATTTGTAGGGGTCCAGATTTTGCAGCTCTTTCAGAACATCAGCTGTCTGAATTTGTGTGAAGG